AATCAGCTGAAGAGCAGCTCGCGGCCGCGACATGCTCCGCGGCCGCGACTTTCGCGTGCAGAAAATTCCTTGCGGACTGCAGTGCGCGGCTTCACGTTTTGGCTCCGTCCGGATTCATCCGAACTCGAAATTGGATTCCGCTTTTTCCTATGTGTAGCTAAGGAACTCATCTATCCAACCATGATTTCCCGACCCGTTTTCGAGCTAAATTGATTCCTCACCGGGCTTCCGACCTGCACACTAAAAACAAGAAGAAAAACGTAGAAAAACGACAAAATACACGAAAAACACATAAAAAGTCGAAATAGAACAAAACACACAATACACTATAAAATGAACTAACAAATAGACCTAAAATGAGGGAAAAGAAACGACAAAATAGCACAGAAAAACGTAACAAAAATGGTCACAACATCGAGTATGGCCTTCACCTTGTCTTTGTTTACCTCGATCCCTCGTTCTGTGACGACATAGCCTAGAAATCGTCCCGCCCTTACTCCAAAGCGGCACTTGCTCGGGTTCAACTTCATCCCAAACGCTCTAAGGGTTTTGAATGTTTCCCTTAAGTCGTCTGGGTGTGAATTCGAAGACCTGCTTTTCACCAAGATATCGTCAACGTATACTACCATATTTCGACCAATCTGAGGTTTGAACATGCGATCCATCAATCGCTGGGAAGTTGCTCCTGCATTTTTTAGGCCAAAAGGCATAACGACATAGCAATATGTCCCCTTGCTCGTCACGAATTACTTTGATCCTCCGGGGCCAAGGGAATCTGGTGGTACCCTTGAGATGCATCCATCATGCTCAGCAACTCACAACCAGCCGTGGAGTCGACTAGCTGGTCGATTCTCGGTAAAGGATAATAGTCTTTTGAGCATGCCAGGTTCAAGTCACGAATGTCGATGCACATACGCCATTTGTTCAGCGCTTTCCTCACCATTACTGTGTTAGATATCCACTCAAGGAATTGGATCTCCTTGATGTATTTGGCTTTCAGCAACTTGTCCACCTCGACTTCAATTGCTCTGTCGATTTCAGCAACATGATGCCTGAGTCGCTGCTTCACCGGCTTTCTGAGGGGGTCGACATTGAGTTTGTGTTCCATGACATCCGGGTCGATTCTTGTCAACTCCTCAGGGGAGAAGGCAAATATGTCCTTGAATTCCTTCAGCAACACCACCAATTATTTTCGTAGTTCGTCCTCCAATTCTCTCCCGACTTTGGTGGTTTGGTCCTCACTTTCTCCAATTTGGATCTCCATCAATTCTCCATGTGGCTTGAGGTCACTCCCCCTCAGCCTCTTTTCACTTGACATTGGCTTCTTTCCCTCCTTGATCTCGGCTCGTTGATTGGTTTTGATTGCGATTTGGTAACATGTTCTCGACAGCTTCTGGTCCCCTCGAGCTTCTCCTACTCGATCTCCCACGGGGAACTTCAATTTCATATGGTAAGTCGACACCACTGCTTGGAAGGCATTGAGCGTCGGCCTCCCAAGGATCACATTGTAAGCCGACTCGACGTCGACCACCACAAATCTCATCATCTTCACCTTCTTTAAGTCACCTTCTCCTCAGACGACCGCGAGCATGGTTTCTCCTAAGGGAGTGACTTCTGATCCATTGAATCCAAAGAGTGACGTGTGTAGAGGTGTAAGATCAATGTCGAGTTCCATCCTTTTGAGACATTCATAGAAAATCACGTTCACAGAACTTCCTGTATCGACAAATACCCTTTGCACCTCATCCCCCGATATCTATGTGATTATCATTAGAGCGTCATTGTATGGTCTTTCGACTTCCCTCACATCGGCAGGCCCGAAGTTCATCACTGGTCCGCTCTCATCGACCTGTTGCACCTCGACTTTTGCATATTGACCTCGTGCATACGCCTTCCTCGCTCGATTTGAATCTCCATCTGTCGATCCTCCGAAGATCATGTTAATCACTCCTCTTTTCGGGGGAAGTTCCTCTTTCTCTGGCAATCTTGCCCTCTTGCGAGGACTCTTACTCATTTCTCTCCTCCTGCTCGACCTCTCGCGCTCTTTGTAGATGAACTCTTTCAGATGACCCGCTTTTATCAACCTTTCGATCTCGTCTTTGAGGTGTCTGCAATCGTCAGTGTTATACCCATAATCTTTATGGAATCGGCGGTACAAGTTACTTTTGGGCTTCACCGGCCCATCCTTTCTCGTCCTTGGCCATGTCACGACATCATCTCGGATCTCCCTTTCCATCACTTCTAGAATTCTCGCGTGAGGAGCCGACAGGGGTATGTATTGAATCGACCTCCATCCCCTAGATCGTCCTTCACCCCTGTCAGATCGTGGTGATCCTCTCCTTTCCCCAGTCGAATGAGTCTTCTTCTCCTTCTTGTCATCTCGACTTTCGGTCCGGGACATCTTTATACTTTGCATATAATCGACTTCTGCTTCCTCGACATTCATGTACTTAGCACACCTTCCCAATACGTCGTCGAAGCTCCTACCAGGTCGCTTGGCCAAAGAATTCTTACTCAACCCTGGCAGCAGTCCCCTCGTCAGTCCTCCCGATTTGATATCCTCTGTTGCTGTCGGGAACTCGACACACGCCCTTGTAAACCTTGCCACATACTCTCATAGCGACTCACCCTTCTTCTACTGCATGCTGATCAACGAGAGGTAGGATTTCTCCTGCACCCTAACACTTGCAAACTGATTTAGAAAGCTCGAGTTGAAACCATCAAAGTCCTTAATCGACCCAGCTGGTAGTTGGTGGAACCAGTCCTGGGCCGACCCTGTCAGATTTGTCAGGAAAGCGCGACATTGTACCGGGTCGTTGTAGCGGTGAAGCACTGCCATGTTCTCAAAACTCCTCAGATGTCGAAACGGGTCAGTGGAGCCATTGTACCATATGTTCAACTACCTGAAGCCTTTAGGTAAGTTGGCTCTCAGGATCTGCTGTGAGAATGGGTGTTCCTTCGCCCCTCTGCTCTTCCTTCCCCCGACTCGAGCCTGCAAGTCGCGGACCTGGGCTAGTAACTGCTTAAACATCTCGTCCCTTGCCTGCGGGTTGACAGTTCGAATGGAGGATTCCTCCTCGTCCGCCCTTCTGTTTTGCTGCACATTTGATTGGGCCTGCTACTCGACACGAGGCTGTTGCTCGACCCGCGGGTTCTGCTCGACATGAGGGTTCTGCTCGACCTGCGGATTCTGCTCGACCTGCACCACTTGCTTCATCTGGGCGGCCACAGCTTCAGCGATCATCTTTTGCATCTCGCTCCACGTCATCGTCAGAGTCTGCTCCTCGACGCGGGGTTGTGTTTGTGTTTGCTCTGGCACCTCCTGGATCTGCTTTCCCTCGCGTCGAGACATCTTCGTTAGCTCCTTCTCTCCAACATTTGGATTAGGGTTTTGACTTGTCCCCATCTGAGTCAACACTTGCACCTTAACCCCAGGTGGAGTAACGAATGTTTCTACACCCAGAGTCATTCCCGGCGGCGGAAGTCCTCCAAATGGTGGTAGTCCCAACATCTGCATAACCGGAGGTCTAGGGGTAGAGAGTGGTGGTGGTCTCCTGTCTGTCCATGCTCCCCTAAACTCCTCATTCAAGTTCCTCTGCAAACCTTCCTTTTCAGCCATCAGAAACAGATCTGAGCTAGGTGCAAAGCTCTTAATTCCTTCAAGAACTACCCACAGACTGCGCCAATATGGTGGGTCTACTTCTAGATCTGGAGTGAACCAGTGGTAAAGAGCTCAAATCTGATTGAATCACCTTCGAACCGTTTCTTGACCGCGAGGACACCTGCAAAAACTCAACACCGGAGGTGTTTCTAGCGTAGAGCCTCCGACGCTCAAGTCAGTATGAGAAGGATGAAGAGAGGCTGCGCAGCAGCTATGAGGGAGAGTGGAGAATGAATGAGAGTTAGGATTTAGGGTTACCTCACCTTCTTTATATAGGAGGAAATATTTACTTGAAGTTCCCAAAATGCCCCGGTCGGTTTACCTGAAAGGTCTAAATTGCCCTGGTCGGTTCGTCTCCCCTTATTGCTGAGTCATGACAAGATTCTTTCGTTATCCATTGAAGGATAAGAGACTTTAAGAGATACCACAAGTATATCGAGTCTTCAGTGTGTTTCGCGCCTCGAGGCACAAAGAGTCGACCTCGAGTACCAGGAGGTCGACTTAGGATTTTCTGCATATTCGGAGGCTACGCTCTTATTGATCTTCTTAAGTAGAAGTCGACTTTTGGGAGTCGACTACATAAGGTCGACCTCTAGGAATCGACTTGCCTGGATTCCGTCTTTCCTCACGGTTATTCTATAAAGGATCGACATTATCGAAGTCGATTTAGGTGTATCGACTGACATACGTCGACTTCGAGGAGTCGACTTACATGGATTTCGCCCTTCTCTCATAGTTGTTTTGTTTAGGAGTCGACTTAGATATGTTGACGAGAATACATCGACATGTGGCCGGTCTAGCCGATCATCTAGTCGAGTAAGAGTCCTCGGGCCGGTAGGTGACGATATGGCTATATCAGGAGGTGTGTTGTTAAATTATACGAGCCTGGCTTGGCTCGGCTCGAGTTCAAAGCCTTAGCGAGCCGAGCTCGAGCTCTTTTAAAGCTCGACTGGTTAAAGATCCGAGCTCGGCTCAGCTCGATAAGGCTCGAAAATAGAAATTTTATGTAATTTTTTATAATTTGGCTCGTTAAGGCTCAAGCTTGAGGCCTTAACCAGCCGAGCTCGAGCTCGAATTTTGGCTTGTTTATTTAACGAGCAGAGCTCGACTCGGCTCGTTAAGAGCTCAAGCACCTTAAGCTCGAGTTTGGCTCAGCTCGTTTATAGCTCTATGGCCGTGGTGGTCGCTGGGGTTTCAGAGGTGGGATTGGTGACGAGGCTTTGGCGGGGCACCCCGCCAGCAGATCCCACCACCTCTGTTTGGCGCAGAAGACGGAGAAAGTACATGGTCCGACCTCAACCTGTTCGATGGCGGCTATCGCGAACAGCGGTGACCAGACGCGGATTTCAAGGACGTTGGGGGTCGCACGGCCCATTGCGGGATAGAGAGTTACAGAGACGACCAAGGTTTCAATGCGCGACGTTGGGATGAAGGTTTCGCCGACTGCTGGGATTATGAGGAGCAACATGAAGACGACGGCTTCGATGTGTTCAGTTGTCGTAATTTGCATCGGGGCGATGCGGGTTTCTGGAAGTCGAGGGTGTCTGCTAGGATGGCGTTCGCCGGCGCGAGCTTACCGTTCGAGGGGTCAAGCGCATGGTTCACCGAGGAAGTCGACGACTCCGACATGGGCGATTTCTGCGATGGTCTGCTGGTTTTCATTGAGGAGGCCCCCGGAGACAGAGAAACATCTTTGAGGGGACATGGGCCCCGCCCTCGTCATTAGTCATTCATGTTTGTTGCTACGTATGTCTTGGAACGTAGCGGAGGATGTTCAATGGCCGTCTTCCAGAAAAGAATTTGCTGTAGATTATGGATTTATGTTAGCCCTGTAGACGATATTTGACAAGAAGTCAAATCCTTTACTAGAGCTTGGGACAGGCCCATACAATACAATTGGGGGAAATCCAAAGGGAGATTTACATGTTTGGCAGGCTTTCAGAATTTACCCGGTGACATGGCTTTCTGGGATTATTTGGCAATGAAGAGATTAGGAAAAACAAAAGTTGAACTATCAGTGTCAAGTGAATGGTCACCAGATGAACGATATTTTCTGACTGCCACCACAGCTCAAAGACTGTAGGTCGACAATGGGATCGAAATATTTTTCTACAATAGCTCCATTTTGATTGATCTATTTCACGGTAACCAAGAATGGGTATGGTCTCACTAGTTGAAGACGAGAATGTACCGAGTTTGAGGGCGAATCCTTTTTGTCAGAGGGAGAATGATCTGATTGCATGAAACCTGACACAAGCACTTACTTAAGTGAGGAGAGTGACTAATTTTGAAAGTTGCTGAAGAGCCTACTTGTCTTGTATGAAGTTGTATTTAGTTGTCTTGCACTCTTAATTTTGAGTAAGCGATCATCCTTATTTTGAGAGTGTGTGCGAGAGAGTTTTATGTGAATACTCTTTGTTTAGTTTCTTTTATTTCAGTGAGTGATTAAATTAGAGTCTTTAACTTTGATTAGAGTCATACATAGCTTTTAATCATTTTTGAGTGCTTAGGAGGAGCACCATACATTTTACGGATGGATTTGTGCAACAAACCAAAGTCCATGGAAGTGGCCGAAAAAGTAGTTAGATAAGTGTGAGTGCAATGTAGGTCGGGATGATAGAGTCTTTGCTGTAAATTCTAGTTGTACTTGTTAGCCAAACACTTATTTGATTGAAAGAGTTTCGAGGGAGCATGAGATGCTCTCGTGAAAGTTCATTTTGTGTTTGAAACACTTCCGCAATTTGAGTGAACATTCATTGTTTACTGTCTTATAGCGCAATTCTTTAACCCCCAAAATTTCAATATGCATAATACTTTTTCGTGAAATTGTCTTCAAGCCTTATTTTTTAAAGATTGCCCATATGCTTATTACATTCATTGTTTTGCATATTGTTTACAATTGACATTGGTTTATGTTACATAGGATGTTAGTGTTATTTGAGAGTTTTTTCTCACTTGGATAATGTTGTATATCATTACACTTTACCAAAGCGTGTTTCTAAGTTGCAAGTGGCTCAAAGACAAGAAAATTGAGAATTTATTAGCTATTGGGGAGTGAGACTTAGGATGTGGTACCAACCAAATTGGTAACTTGCAACGTGTTGGTACCACTCGTTGGAGCTCTCATTATACCTCCGTAAAGAGCTTGATTGATATGTATGTTGCCACTTGCAAAGCTTTTGAATATCTCATAGAGCATTGTCTGAGTGACTGAAGTTCATGGGGTTTATAGAAATATGACAACCTTTGAATTTGTGTGTGTCTTGCATTTGATGCACAAAATTTTCAGAATCGCTGACGCTCTTTGCCAGGTACTTCAAAGAAAAACTCAAGATATAGTCACGATTATCACATTTGTCTCTACCGCAAAAAATATTCTTCAAGATTTGAGTGAATCTGGTTGGGAGGCATTTCTTGAGGATGTTAATTTTTTTCTCAAAAAATGATATTGATGTTCCGAACTTAGATGACATTTATAAGGTTGGTCATTCTTGCAAACATACTACAATTGAACATCATTACCACTTTGACATCTATAATTAAACGATTGATTTTATTTTATTGGAGTTGAACGTACGGTTTAATGAAACCTCTATCGAACTTCTTTCTCTCACTGTGGATTTAGATCCTAAAAGTTCTTTTGAATCATTTAGTAGTAATGATATTTGCAAGCTCGCGAAAAAATTCTCTCAGAAATATTTTACAACTCGAGATATTGTCACTTTATAATGAGTTGATTCATTATAAACATGATGTGCTTAAAACTTTTCAGGCATCTACACTCGTTGAAATATGCCAAAAATTGACAGAGTGGTAGATCGAAAGTGTATGCTATATTAACTATATTAATCCATCTAGTTCTGGTTGTCGGTTTCTACTTCTACAACTGAACAAGATTTTTGAGCCATGAAGCATGTGAAGACAAAACTTTGTAATAAGATTGAGATGATTTTCTCGAAAATTGTTTGATGCTTGAGTTTACTAGTAGTATAAGTATAGATTATATTATTGATAAATATTATTTTGTAAAAGCTCGTCGAGCACAACTCCAGTTAATATTTTAAAAAAAATATTATGTGATTTTTGTGAAAATGAGTTTTGGCTTGATTGTTTATGAAATAATTTGTTCAAAATGAGTTGTTTTGGTTAACCATAGTTAATTTTGAAAAAGGTGGTATAGTTAGTTGCTAGTGAAATTTTAAGAATAATTAAAATATTATTTAAAATAAAATGATTAAAATTGATTTGATGTAAAAGTAGGAGAGAAATGATTGGAAATGATTAGAAATGATAGGTAGTTAAAATTATGCGAGTGGATAAATAGTGAATTAAAGTTGATATGATGTGTAAGAATGATTGGTTTGTATCATTTAATTATATGAATAATATTAAAGATAGTGGAGTTGAGTTAAATTTAAATTAGATTTTGAGTATGAGATAAAAGTAAGTAAATTAACTCATAAACAAGCATGCCCTCTACTCTTAATTTCTGAATCAATCCCTGCATAAGATGAAACACAATTGTGGAATAGTTTATTCCATGCGAATAGATTAGAACATTCTCTGTATAATATACTCATTTGCATAATAATTTCCTTGACATCATAAACTACATCACGTTGGATTCATAGTTTTCATCTCCTTTCTGTCAAATTTCGATTTTTTTTTTTTTTTTTTTTTTTTTTTTTTTTTTTTTTCTGTTTTTGTACTGTTGATATATATATGAATCAAATCTCCATGGACTCAAAAGTAATCATTTGTGGACGGACGACGAAGTTTGTGTAGTCAGAGAAGATCTCATGTCAACAATGGCAGACGGGTCCGCCCCAAGCTTCTTAGCCTCTTTACTCGCCCTTATGAACCTCGGCACCGCACCTTTTACGTACTCATTAGCTTCCCTAACCTTCATCTTTTTAACCATCTCATTCGGAAAGCTGCTCAAGTAATGATCGCCCTTAAGAACAGCCGCCAGCTGGACGAGTTCATCCTGAAACTCGGACAACCCCCTGTTTTCATTGGCTTCCTCCTTCCTCAAATGAGCAACATCAGGCAAAACCTCTGTATAAACATTAAACAAAAGAAAAAGATGCATATATGTGTAAGAAAGTAATAATTTGAGCTATAAAGAAATCTTTACGTGTTTTCTCTTTCTTTTTTTTTTTTTTTGGGTTTATTGACCTGGGAAATTGGTTCTTGGAGAGGTAAGCTCACTGAAAACGTGCTCAAACGTGCCAGCCCAAGAGTCTCTGTGAGTAAGAAAGTGTGACGAGAGATTGAATACCTTCTTTATGGTTGCCGGTATTGACGAGTGTTCATATTCTGAATTTGGGGAAGGTGGCCTGTTTATAACTACACAGTGCACAGCACAGGGAAAGAAGAATAACATACAGACCACATTGCATATATATTACAAAACGAATCTCATTTGAGTGTACAACCTAGGAGATTCCAAGAACATTTTTGTATAAAACTCTTCTATTAAATCAAAGTGCTAAGTCATAAATTGATAGGATAATTGAACTCTACAATCAACCAAAATATGAAAGATATGAAATGAAAATAAAGAAAGAAAACGTATATGGTGTGCTTGAAAGATCGTTTGAAAAAATCATAGAGTACAAGAANAAAGATACTTGAGTGAAACATTAGAGCATATTTCATGATTAGAGTAAACCCTTCAATTGAAGTTCACAATTCAGAGATGGGGTGATTATTTACCAATTTAACTAAAAAAAAAATCAATCAAAACTGAAATTTCACTCAATATTAACTCAACTTCATTATCCTCAATATTATCAATATAATTAAATAATATCAACCAATCATTAAAGCACTATTCATTCACTCACGTAATTTTAATTAATCATCACTCTCAATCATTTTTCTCCTACTTTTACATCAAATCAACTTTAATTATTTTATTTTAAATATTATTTTAATATATCCACTAACAACTAACATACTACTTTTTTTTCAAAATTAACTATGGTTAAATAAAAACCATTTAAAAGATAGTTGAATTCATATCCAATCACCCCTAAAGCATTCAGAATTTTTGGTTTCATTTAAAAAAATATACTATTCTAGAAAAATATATAGTTCAATGCAAGTGCAAGTGGACTTGGTGTGGCAGGAAGAAAATAAAACTAAGTCTACCTTTATTAAGTCTATTTTATACCAAGTAGAGACATACTATCTTTGCAAAGGAGTTCATTTTGTTACTTTTATATATTTTTGTCCATATCACCTCAGACTTGGGTTTATTTAAATGCCACGTAAGTAAAATTAGACTTAAAGCATTGCAGACGCTATTACCTGCCCCTTTCTTGATCTAAGGAGAGACCATAATGGTCGGCAAACGAACCCCTAGCCGATCGAAGTTAAAGAAATACGGCGCGGGCCCCATGTTCCCGTCTGGATTCGGGACTCCCACGTAAGGCGTCGGGACATGATCGTAAAACCCGTCGTGCTCGTCGTACGTGACCACCAACAAAAGTCCCGTTCCACTGCCGGACCCCCCCTCAGCGTCTCGTACACCTCCTTCACGAGCCTCTGCCCTTGCGCCACGTCGTGCGACAGGTGATCGTCGTTCGCGGGTTGGCCCATAACATCGAAGTATCTCGGCTCGATAACTGTGAGGCTCGGCAGCTTCCCACACTTCGCGTCCCTCTCAAACTTCGACTCGTAACGCTTGAATTTGAACGCATACTTCAATTTACATAGATTCCAGCACAAGTACGCCGCCGGGAAGCTCTAGAAGTAGATACTGAAATCGAGCCTGTTTTTGTGCATCGAGTCGAATATGGTCTGTTGAGGGTACCCGTCGACTGTTAACCGTTTCACGTTGCTCGTGGACCCCTGTGAGGTGGCGGAAAATAAGAAAATCCAGTTCGGTTGGGTGGTCCCGGGGACCGAGCTGAACCACCGGTTGAACACGGTGAATTCGTTCGCCAGCCTGGAAAAAACCGGGACTTTCTCCGGATGGAACCCTTTCATCACGGTCTCGGAGAGGTTTTTCGAGACGGTCGAGGCTTGCTCGACGAAATCGGACATGGATGGGTAAGGGTCGGATCCGAAGACTTGTTTATGGATGTCTTCGAACGTGTGGCCCGAGTTTAGGTCAATGTATTCGGAGTCGTCCGAGACGTAGATTTTCGGGCCGGAAGGATCGGTGGTGGAGATCAGATTGCATTCTTTGCCGTTGAGGCCGTCGATTGTGGGGTTTATGGAGTTTTTCGTCCACCCGAGCATGTGGTCAAATGACCGGTTTTCGAGGACTAAGACTACTATGGTTTTGATTGGGTGTGGTGGCTGCTGCTGGAGGCTTTGAGGGAGAACATTTGAGAAGAAAATTATAAGAAAATTGAAGAATAGAGATCGCATTTTGATCTTTGGAATGTATGCAGAAATGCTCTGTTCTCACTTCTCATACATAAGAAAAGAGAAAAAGAAAAATGAATTAAAGATATGAGATTCGCTTGGTGTTCACAGGTAATTAGTTGAGATTAAGAAAGGTTATACTGCAAAATTAGGAAAAAAAATAAAAACAACAAATTGGGAATTGGCATGTGAAGATTTATGCAAATCTGAAATATAAGGAAAGAGTAAGAAAAGGATGTTGTGTTGTTCCGCATTTTTTGTTCTTTTTATGACGCATAATCACAGAATTTAGGTCGTCGAGATATTTGTTTCGATTCATGCACATGCTCTTTATCTATGGAGTATGGACTATGATTTCTCGGAGTTCATCCTAATATTGTCTGGGTAACTTATACTAAGCATTATTGTCTGAAATCTAGCTAAGATAGTTACAAATTAATTGATTAGCTTTTGAATTATAAACAAGGTTTTTATCCCTGTGTTTGGGTGAGGATCGGACCGGATTTGTGACCGGTCACGGTTCAATCGTTTAACCGATCAGTTCTGTCCGATTTCTTAAAACCATGATAATAAATAGGGTAAATGATTTTTTCAACATGTATATATGTGCTTTTGGGATTTTCAACCCTTAAGTTTTGTGTGTGTGTGTGTGTGTGTGTGTGTGTGTGTATGTGTAAATTACCACTTGAACTACATATACATTCATTATTTGCACTCTTGCCTACATCTTGGCCATACACGCATCCGGTTTTGCGGATGATCGGATGGTCAAAAAGTAGGCGAACATGCAAATAGTTATATATATGTAGTTCATGTTGCATTTTAAAAATTCCCAAAAGCACGTATAGTACAGGTTGGAAAAAATGATTAATACTTATAATAATTAGCCTAGAAGGGTATATACTACCAAGTGATTCTTGTGTGAGTCTCTTTAATGATTAGGCGGATCGATCAATGATTCATTTAAAAAAAATACATACGCTATGCAATGTCATACTTACATGAAATATTATCAGTGAATTGAATATTATAAAATTTACGGTTGATAAAATATTTTTTTCTTGATGATTTTAATACAAAATTTAACTTTACAAAGAATTATGTAGTTTCAAAATTTTTTGAATGCTTGGCAAGTATGTACACAACGTTTTATGAATTTTTCAGTGAACATAGAGTTTATATTATGTTTTTCAATTAATTTGAACTATAATCTTCCACAAATTTTATTGATTTTTTTTCTCTCAAAAAATTGACAAATCCTATTACTACAACAAATAAATTCAAAACGGTAATTGATTTATGATTCAAAGATAATTTAACTATCACACTCATTACCAAAGAGCAAAACTTGCATTTTATTTTTCTCCAGCGACAACAAAATACATTGCAAAATTCGAAAAATGTCTTACAACCGAGTACCCAACTGGGCACTGCATTACAAACCCTGCACCAGCACATACAAGCCTAGCAACAACCGGGATTGTAACAACCTACAACCCATCAACCGTCAAAGAAGGTAAAGACAAACTAGAACAACAAGTTCCAGGATCAAACACAAAAACACAAATAATAATAGACGAAGCAAGCCATAAAATGTCTCTAATGATAACCCTCAGGTTGGATGTACTCTCAGCTTTCTTCTGCAGCATCTTGGTCACTTCCAAGTCAGCCAAAAAGCAAACCACTTTCCACCTGCAGATCACTAAGTTTTTGAAGAGCACCTATGATAGTCAAAAGCAACACTTCCTCCTTACTCTGCTTTTCCCATCAACACAAAAGACAACCTAAAGAGCTCATGTCCTTCTTTTTCTGTAACACAACCAAAACCAGTGTTGCCACCTGTACAAAGTAAGGCACTGACAGAACAACAAATCTGTCATAACTTTTTGGAAAATTTTTCTACAGGAGCATTCCCTGAGTTCTGATTAAGTGTTGTAGTCAGTTTTTTTCTTTTTTATTTTTTTAATATTTTTAATATAAACAAAAATATATATTTAAATATAATAGATATAAATATAAGTTAGTTATTAGTTAGTTTAAAGTATTTTAATGTTTTGAATTATCTAAATATTTAATTAAAAAAATTATATACAACTTTTATTATATAAAATATTATATATTTAAAAAATCAATAAATTAAATAATTGAGTAGTCAGTTCAACCAGTGATTGGACCAGCGAACCATTGAACCAGTAGTAGGGCTGCAAACGAGTCGAGCCAAGTCGAGCATGGACCTTGTTGAGCTCGATTTTTTTTTTCCATTGCTCGAGCTCGAGCTCAAATTATGAAAATGACGTTCGAGCTCGACTCGTGAAACAAATGGAAATGCTCAAAGACTCGATGCTCGAGATCGACTCGAGTACGGCTCGAATTTTAACAATTAAAAATTATGCACCTATGAAAATTTTGTTAATTACATATATACAAAGGGCATTTAAGTATTTTACCACATAGTTCGAGCTACTCGTCGAGCGACTTGACCTTTGAAAATTTGGGCTCGAGATCGACTCGATAACGTACTCGGGCCACTCGAGCTCGAGTCGAGCTTTGACTTGAGCTATTCAACTTGTTTGCAGCCATAACCAGTAACTTGACCAGATCGACAACAAATCTAGTTTTTATAGTTTTGGTTAGATGTACGAGTAATATAAAAAAAATGTAAAAATAGAAAGACAAATTTTCTATATTTTAGGACCAAATTTACAATTTTACCGTCACGTCGCGTTTTCCCCTTCATAAAATTGACGTTCTTCCTTTCCCCAATTTATATTTCCTTTCCCCAATTGGGCAGCAGCAGACGAACTATGGAACAAAACAGCCTGCAGCAAGGCGCGGCGCTACCACAGGCGGCGGCAGGGTACCCGCCGCAGCCTCCGTACCACCACCTCCTCGAATCTCAGCAGGAGCAGCTCCAGATGTTCTGGAATTTCCAGCGCCAGGAGATCGAGCAGGTGAACGATTTCAAAAACCACCAGCTCCCGCTGGCCCGCATTAAGAAAATCATGAAGGCCGACGAGGACGTGCGCATGATATCGGCGGAGGCCCCGATACTCTTCGCCAAGGCGTGCGAGCTTTTCATACTCGAGCTCACCATGAGATCGTGGCTCCACGCGGAAGAGAACAAGCGCCGTACCCTCCAGAAGAATGACATAGCGGCCGCCATCACTCGCACCGACATATTTGATTTTCTTGTGGATATTGTGCCGAGGGATGAAATCAAGGATGAGGTGGCTGCCCTCGAGGGGATTGTGGTCCCACCAGCGGGAGCTGCCGGCGTTACCGGCGTGCCCTACTATTACCCGCCCATGGGGCAGCCAATGATGGGCCGGCCAGCTGTGCCTGGGGTGGATCCTGGTGTTTATGCGCAGGCTTTGCCACCTTCTCAGGCGTGGCAGTCCGTGTGGCAAACCACCACAGAGGATGGCTCGTATGCAAGTGGTGGTGGCGGAAGCAGCGGACATGGCAGCCTGGACGGACAAGGGTAATTCCGCCGTTTTGATTCAAGATTTGAGATCCCCTAATTAAGCTAAACCTTTTTGGTGATTCTGCTATAATAATTGAGCTAGTATTATTATAGTTAGGATGCTTTCATGTTGATCTATGCCCCTTCATTTACGGTAGTTATGTTTCAATTTGAATTTAGAATAATGCACTTATATGTGCAGTATTTGTGTATTTACTTACAGTAAAGCTAACCTTTTTGCCTGATTTACTTGAAATGTCACTATTCGTGTTGTCTGAAAAATCTTGACTTATGTTTTCCAGAAAACAGAATTATGTAGGCTTAGGTGGTTTTATGTTTCCTGGGCTATACTAAGAGTTTTTACAATTATTAGTATACTTGTGTTCAACAAAGATGTGTTTCCCATGTTAGTGACCAAAGAATGCTGTTTTCCAAGTGCAAGTATGATTTAGAACTCTGTGGTTGGCATTTGTACAGGAGTAACCAAATACTTTCTAACTTAATATGTTCCTTATCGGGAGTTCCTATGATGCCTTCCCTTCTCCCAGCAGAAATCATACAATGATACTATCGTATCACTCTGTTTATATGGATTCGATTTCAATGCAAGAAATGGCCAAAACATAATGGTCTTTTTCCTGTATTCTTGAATCAAATATGTTGTGGACCTGAAACATGAGTGTCAAATATATACTTGTATAGTTATTAGTTATACTTTACTGTAAAGCTAGGGTTTGGTTAAGCTTTTATTTCGTGGAAACGATAAATTGAAGTTGTTGATGTCCAATACTATTCTGTGGTCCTTGTTGATTATATATATAGTATTATTTATCGTGTTACATGGCATTACCTTTTCTGGTTGTTGTTTAATTCCATCCTTTGACGCCATTCTTTTTTCTTCTGTTGGAACTAAATTCTCGTTCGATGTTTCAGTGAGATTATTCTCTTTTGTTCGATTGCCGTTCTAGCTTGTGCAAGACATAAGTGTGAGGTTTTTGCAAGCTTGATAAAGGCTGTGAGTTGAGCACACGGTTTTGAGTGTGACTGAGTGTTGCTTTTGAAATACTTGTAAGGATTGCAGAACATACTTAAAGTGCTGGACATACAATTTTATACTTTCAATATGCAAGCGTTGGTGTTTATTGATTTAAATTTCTTAAGAGAAGAATTTAAAAATCCCCATATTTTCATACCCTAGCTTACTTGGGTTCAGACAGGACAAGGCTTAATGGAGTTACGTCCTAGAGGGCATTGCGGCTATTTTTGTGGGTGAATTTTGCTGGTTCTGAACAACGAGAACTTGTTTAAAGCTCTGTGCAATAAGAGTAACAATGATATTTCTTGGTCTGGTTACTGTGGTATTCATGTTGAACCCATAAGTTACTAAGGGTGGACTGAATTTTATTTCCTATTGAGATAATGATGTAGTTTAGCAAGCTCTGCAAGGTTATTGGCTTATATGTTCAAATATGTAGGAATGAGATGTTATCATGAAATTGTAAAATACTCTTTAGTTCAAAACATTGAAAATGTGATGAAGCTTATAATGACAGTGATTCTGAGCTTGCATTTTTTGATCAATTTGTAATGGGATTTTGTCTTGTATTTCCATTATATACAACTGATTGTTTAATCCAGAGAACTATTTGGGAAAATTTGGTTATTAACATGTGATGTTATGTTAGGGGATATACGGATCTTTTATTTCTATGTTTAACACTGACACTGTATTGTGTTATGTGGGGTTCTAACACTGTTCTCCTCGTCTAGTCATCACATTCCTGCATTTGTACTTATACTAGTGTCAAGTAAAAGTAGCTAAGGTCTATTAGATGTCCTTCACCAGGACTTAAAATCTTGAAACAAATTGTCATCAACGCTAGCTTAGCTCCAAGGTCACTTTAATTCAGCAGATTTCCCGATTATTGATATTTCTGATTCGAAACCAGTGATCTAAAGGAAGTTGGCTCACATTTGTTGGTCTATGTTTTGCTGGGAATATATTACAAAATTAAGATGCACTACTACTTAGGTTAGTGAAATAAAACGTCCTTGGAGCTAAAGCTAACCTTAATGACAATTCTGACTTGAAACCCGTGATCCAAAGGAAGTTGGCTCACATTTGTGGGTCTATGTTTTGCTGGGATATTACAAAATTATTATGCACTACTACTTTGGTTAGTGAAAGCTTGCTATACATGACTCAAAGTCACAGTTTTCTGGATATTTATGCATGATGACGATGTAGTCTAATATTACTAATAGGTTGAGGCTTGAATGTGTTATTTGTGGTTTGAGTGATTGCTACATACCATATGTTTTAAGTCCACCTTTTTTTTTTTTTTGTTTTTGTTTTGGTAGTTAGAATTCTAAACTACATTAATCTTGGGAACTGGGGATAACTATGCTTAGTTATTGTACGCCTTTTCTTTTGTTCTAAATTTAAATAACACGTTTCTGATACGTTCAACCTTTGCTCATGATGTAGCCATATTCATTTCAACGTGTGGTAGTATCTATCAAATATACAATTAAAGTTTAGCAATTGGAGTTATGCATGCCAACATAGATTAAGAGTCCTATTCGTGCAACTTATGGTTGGGAGTTAATGTCAATGCTCGAAAAGCCATTTTAATTGCATTGATGTAAATNATGTATATGTGGAACTTCAAAAGGATATCCCCGGATATGATGTAACCCTGCAGTTTATTGCATGTGATTTCATCTGGCTATTGTCTCTTTCTTTTAATTTGAAGATGAGTCGATTGGGTTCATCTTATTTCATTCTTTAAGTGTCATGCAACTCATTCTTTTCCTAACACGCCTTGTTTGTTTTGTTTTCTTGGTATAATGTAGACTTCAATCATTTATTCTTGTTTTCTGCAGTTGACACTTGACAGATCCAGTAGCTGAATGAATGTGAAGGAGTTGCAGAATGGGAAGTCAACGGCGGCGGACGTTTTTTCTTTTCTCGTCTTTCTCAACATCAAATTGGATTCATCGAACGTATCGATGAATCTTGTTCTTGATGTTTAACGACTTCAGAATATTTATGTAAAACAACATTCCATTTTGGTGGTAAATTTTATCACATCATTCACGTACAAGATCGATATCCTGTGCAATGAAACACTGATCTAAGTAACTAGAACTGTTCTTCATTTGAGACATTGAAACTTGTGTGTTTTAACTTTAAACTCATATTTTCTTTGCGTACTGTAATCTTGTCTTGTCTGTGCATCTGTTCAGTCACAGGTCTATCTATATCATTCTATATTTGAAACTCATTAACGGAACCAAGTTGGCTCTAACAAGCATGTGTGGCCTGACAACTGCAAAAGTGTGTCATCAGATATCCCGTTTTTGGTGGAGAACTATTTCAATATGTACTCTGTGTGTTATGTTATCATGTATTCCTGCTTGTTAAAAAATGCATGTGTGGTGTGGAGATAATTAAGTTGTCCTATTGCTATTGCTCTTGACACTCACCATCTCTAAAACGGGACTGAGTTCTGAATGCAACACGTATCTTTTATGTTGTTGTGCAAAATGTGGTTGCATTAGTCACTCTAACCACTTGAAAATGCCAGAATCTACCCTTGGCCGAAACCAAATTCTCCTCGCACAAAAACTCCCATGAGAACCACTTCTCAATCATCCGGTCAACATCGTGCACTATAACACGAGTCCTATTTCTTCTTCTTGCCAGCACACCAGCTGTGTAGATGGGACCCATTCTTCCAGGCGAATCGGGCCCATCACCACTTGGGCCGTCCACAACTACAAAATCCCACATAGTATCATAAACTTCTCGTGGGAGGTTTGTCAATGCCAGATTGCATCTTCTTAACAGTTGGTCAGAATTTGGCCGGCAGTGTGGATTTGCTCTCGCGTCTTTTAGCAGCCGGTAAGCTTCTGATGCCATTGTGTTGTACTTTACATTGTGAACTCGTGTATTGTTGGAGGATCTGAACGTGTCCGTTTTTTCGGGGTTGTTCTCGAGGAAGGTGGTGAATCCACCGGCATTTAGAGATGATATGGTTGAGTAGTGACGTTTTTGCCCAAAAATAAGCAGGTTGCATGGGATTAAGTGAGAGAGTAATTCCAAGAGGAATTTTTTCTCCTTATAAGTGAGGCCGTTGTTTGCATCTCTAGAAATAGAGCTACGAGGAGCTTTCGGGTGAGTTATGTTGTTTTTTCTACAAATTGAACATTGGTGCTCGTGGATTGGAGGAGGAAGGGATATCGATACAGGTGAATTATAACTTATCATGCTAATGTTGAGAAATCTGAGAAGGGAAGCACCGCATAAAACAAAAACAAGGAGTAGGATGAGATTCTTTATGGTGAATTTCATTCTACCTTTGAAACGTGATTTTGGGGAGATTTGTGGTTGTATTGGAGGTGCTGCTTTGGGGGTGAGGAGAGGATGATGGCTATGGAACAGTTGTGGTGGCATCTTCGGAACTATAGTGATTGGCTCATCATTTTCACATTTTATTGTGTTTGGTAACTCTTTCTAGATTGGTGTTGTTATTATTATTATTATTTTTTTTATTTTATTTTTTTTATTTTTTTTTTGGGTTATCTGCCGTCCTATGTTGTCTACACTCTACAGTGTATGCCACCAATTGGGGGCTGCTAAGAGGGTTGTTGCCAAGACACTTTCAATCAGTTGTGCCCGACTTGAAAGCTTTCATACCCTACACTTCTAGGAAAGCTACCACAAGTCACCTAATTTTTCAGATTTCTATTTCAAAATTAGAGTTTTATATTGTATTAATAGACATGGCCAAGGGTCGAACCTGGCCAGATTCACCGGTTTTTGAACAGTACCCTTAGTCCTGTCGGGTTCGTTTAGGGTTGTGTTTTTCTCATTTTTGACCCGCCGGGCCAGTCCGCTTTCGGGGCGGTCCCGAGTTGGAAGACGGGCTCGGTTCGTGTTTTTTTTTAAAAAAAAATTGGGTTGGGCCGGGCAGGCTCGGCTCGGTCCGGCCGTTGGGAGCCACACCTGACCAGGTCAGATTTTTTAAAAAAGTGGGCCGGGTTGGGTCGGGCCCCAACGGTCAATTGATCACTGTCGTTGGATCAAGTGGACCGTTACTCGAAACTTTGCGGGTTTTTGACAATAAGAAAAAAAATATAAAAAATTAAAAAAAAAAACCTAAAAAATTTTCCTATAAATGACTCGAATTGAACCGTTTCGATGGTCCCAAATACCGAACCAAATCGAACCGAAAAGTAAAAATCTCTAAATCGAATCGAACCGATTTTTTGGTCTGCTTCTGGCGATCGAATTTTAGACCCCAATTAGGCCATCTGTCCCTAATACCGGTCTTCCATCACAAGATTTTTATATCAGAATGATGACAGGGAAGTCTTGATTTACACATACATATCTATTGTTCAGTGAGATACGTACCTTTCTGAATCCTTATTTCCCATGCTTAGTTCTTGCTGTAGCTGATTTGGTATCTCACTGTGCAAGCTGTCATTCTCCATTTGCCTCGGTTATGCCCGTCTACCCCATATCAGTTTGATAATCGACCAAAGGATTCACCATGTGTCAAACATGATAAAAGCTATCCTGACACTTACGGCTGAAAAGATAGAACTGATGAAAGACCAGTTTCATAAATTTTTGAAGTTCAACAAATATATATCAGCACAAGAAATTCTCAGCTTAAAAAGCATAACATTGTCTCCTACATATGTAAGAGGATTTTCATGTCTTTCTTAGAGAGGTTTCAACAATTAATCAATGTTATATTACCTGATATCCCAAAAAAGTATATCCAATACATATGAAACATCTTGGTTTATGTTAAAGGTAGCGAGGTTGTTCTTTGATCATATTGTTAAGTTACATGCCATTCCAAAATCTATCGTGCGTGATCGTGATGTCACTTTTACTAGTTCTTTTTTGGAAGGAATTATTTCGGCTTAGTGGCACCAAGTTGTCTTTTAGCTCTGCTTACCACCCTCAATCAGATGGCCAGACTGAAGTGGCCAATAGTACAGTGGAGATGTATCTACGTCGCTTCACAGATGACCGTCCCAAAGGTTGGGTCGTTTGGGTGTCTTGGGCTGAATATTGTTCTAATACAAGCTTCCATTCCTCTCTTCATGCCACTCCTTTTGAAGTTGTCTATGGACGACAACCACCTTATCTATTATCTTATTCTCCAACATTATCTCAAATTCAGGCTGTGGATTATGAGTTACGTGCTAGAGATGTGATTTTGCAGAAGCTGAGGGAACGTCTGCTTCATGCCCAAAATGTTATGAAGACTTATTATGATTCTCAACATAGAGATGTGTCTTTTGATGTGGGGGACGTGGTGCTTTTAAAGCTTCAGCCTTATCGTCAAGTTTCAGTGGGGTTTAAGCGAAATCAGAAATTAGCTCCTCGTTTTTATGGGCCTTTTCCTATTATTGATCGAATTGGTTTGGTGGCTTACAAACTGTAGCTTCCTGAAGGCTCTAAACTTCATCCTGTTTTTCATGTTTCTTGTTTGAAGAAGTTCCATGGTATTGAAACTTGTTCTTATACATTACCCCTTCTTCATAAGGGTGTTCCTATTCCAACTCCTCAAGCTGTGCTGGATTCGAGAATTAAAGATGGCCTAAAGGAGATTCTCATTAATTGGGAAGGACTTTCTCCCTCTGATGCTTCTGGGGAATCTGCAGAGCATATGCAGCTTCGTTATCCTCAATTTGCGCTTGAGGACAAGCACTCTTCAAAGGGAGGAAGTGATGTTATGATCCAAGATCAGTCTGCTAAAGTTCTACCATTCAAAGTTTACCAGCGAAGATCAAAGAAGAATTAAGTTTGGACAATCCTCTGTTATGATATTTTATTAATGTTTTAGTGTGGCTGTTAGTTACTTTCTGCCAGGTGTTTATAAGGCAAAATATTATACATATGTATTGTGTAGGTTATTGGCTATATATTATAAATAAGTCGTACAGCTAAAATTTAGGAAGCAGTTATTTCTGTAAGGTTAAGTATTGGTTTAAGAAATAAGAAAAGTGTGGAATTTATGATAAAAAGTTCTTGAGTCTTTAAACTCTTGGAAGATCGTTGGGTTCTCTCTAACGAGCCCAAAAATTATAATCAAAATAGGTTATAAGGGAAGAAAAACTCAAACTTCTAGTAATCAACAACTAGATTTCAATGTTCAGGGTCCTATAACTAGATCCAGAGGGCCTGATGTTAACAAGTCGATTCTCGATTCAGAACTAAACTCTGAAAAATCTTCCACGCCGAGGCAAGGGGAAGCCGCCACAAAGACGTCGGAAACCCCGCCAGAGGGCTCGAAAGATGGTCCAAACGCACAGCCAAGCCACACCCTTGGACACAACACCTAAAGAACATGATCCCAGGTGCACCGACGGACTCCAGTGGTTGAGGGCTAGACGCTAACGACTGACGACTCTATCTTAGCCGGGGGCATGGCGACGCGGTGAGGGCCAATCTCGACCAAACACCGGCAAGGCCTCGGAAGAGGCGGAAAGAAGAGCCCCCAGCCCCAACTTGGTCGAATTTGGCTTCAGAAGCGCGACGGCAGAACGCCGGTGGAGGAGGGGCAGTGAATTGAGAGGACGATCGATGCTGCTTTTTGTATATTTGAGGGAGAAGAGGGGAGTGCCCCTCGCATGTGTAATTTTAGTCACTTGCGAATGCGTTTTTCTGCAGCAATGAAGAGTTGATTCAAATTGTAAAAACAAGGTAGGGAGTGCAACACATGTATTTTGCTTAGGGATTGATAAAGAAAATGTGAAGTAGTGGAGGGATTTAAGAAGAAAAAACCAAAATAAAAAATCTTCCCTATGATTATACCCGAAAATATTTGAGAGAACCTAAAAATATCTAAAAAGGACTAAAAAGAACTAAGGCTCCGTTTGTTTTGAAGGATTTACTGAGGGATTGAAATCCATGGATTTCAAATTTACAAGTTCAAATTCTCATGCATGTTGGGACGATAATGGAAGTTGGAGGATTTTAAATTTATGCTAAATATTTTTTAGTCATTATTTTGAAGGATTTGAAATTACTCCTCAAACCTAGTCATTTGAAATCCATTGTTTATCACTGTTACGACCACGCCGTCCGCGATCATTTAGGTTCATCACCACCGTGAGTCAAAACCATTGGTGCGAGCTAGACAATTGATTTATAATATTTTCAACACATCTATTCAAGGAGCGTGCAAGTAAAAAATAAAATATATTTCAAAGATTTTGAAATCAAGGGATTTCAAATCCTTCAAAACAAACGGAGCCTAAAAGCTTGAAATCTAAATAAAAAAAACTGAAAAACTAACATGATTGGATATAAAAAGTTTTTTTTTATTGGATTTTTGGTTTGGGTTGGTTAAATTTGAAAAAGTTGATATGATTAGCTGTTAGTGAGTATATTAAAATAATATTTAAAATAAAAAGATTAAAATTAAAGTGATGTAATAGTAGGAGAGAGAAGATGTGATGTGATGGTTAGTTAAAATTATGTGAGTTGATGAATAGTGAATTAAGGTTGATATTGTGTGTAAGAATGATTGATTGATATTATTTAATTATATTGATAATATTGATGATAGTGTGGCTGAATTATGGTTGAGTTAAAAAAAAATAGTTGAGTTAAAATGATTGAATTTTTTTGGTTGAATTTATATCCAATCATGCTGGCTCTATTTAATTTGACACGAATTCTTGTCAAAAGGCACATTATAGTATACGAGTATGACTATTGGCTCTACTCTCCAACTTGGTCATTCAAACAAGAGTCATGATATGGATATATTTTCTTTGAAACAAAACCCCACCAAAGAATCATATCTCCATGACATTTCTTCACATTTGGAAGTTGAGATGCAGGAAATCGTCCTGCTTGTTTGGTGCTAAGCTTTTACACCAGTGCCCACTTAAACAAAACTAGTTTGGCAGTGAATTCGTAATAAATTTCAGAGCCCAATTAGGCTATCTGTCCCTAATACCGGTCCCCCATCACGAGATTTTTATATCAGAATGATGACACGAAAAGTCTTGCATTACACATACATATCTATTGTTCAGTGAGATACGAACCTTTCTGAATCCTTATTTCCCATGCTTAGTTCTTGCGGTAGCTGATTTGGTATCTCACTGTGCAAGCTGTCATTCTCCATTTGCCTCGGTTAAGCCCGTCTACCCCATATCAATTTGACAATCGACCAAAGGATTCACCATGTGTCAAACATGATAAAAGCTGTCCTACACACTTACGGCTGAAAAGATGGAACTGATGAAAGACCAGTTTCATAAACTTTTGAAGTTCAACAAATATCAGAACAAGAAATTCTCAGCTTAAAAAGCATAACATTGTCTCCTGCATATGTAAGAGGATTTTCATGTCTTTCTTGGACAGGTTTAACCAATTAATCAATGTTATATTACCTGATATCCGAAAAAAGTATATCCAATACATTTGAAACATCTTGGTTTATATTAAAGGTAAGATGATCGATCATTTCCAACTCAAATGTTATGTTCACCAAAGGATTCACCATGTGTCAAACATGGTAAATTATATTGCAAGTTTAGACTTTTGGTGCCTACAGAGTTGGAGCTTTAACTGAGCTCGTGCCAAAGAATATTCAGCCATGGGCATGGCTACTGACATCTTTTTACATTGGAATTTGTTAACACACAACCTATGGCAAACATAGTTCGGGCAAAAAGGTGGGCAGGACCTCAAAAGCCTTTTAGCTTCTGAAGCTCATAGCCCACAGTTCAAAGTGCCTGGTGACTCGGGCCCCTTTACTATCTATGGTGGCAAAGCCTGCTATCCAATATTTTCTCCTCTTCATAAAGACTTCCCAGAAAAACTGAAGGCAGCAGAAAAATATGACTATTGCACTAGGGTAGATAGGGACTACAAAAGCAAAAGGACGTTTAATAATTCTTCCATGCTGAGTAAGTCAGGTCACTGGAAGTAAAAGGAATAACAAAGTCATATTAAAAGTAGTTCTACTAGGCTACAGCAATAAAATTACTGCTAGTCAGATTTATAAGAATAGTTATAGAGATGGAGTATGTTTTGCTACGATAATAAAGGATCCCACAATACTCAACCGTATCTCAAACAGTTCATATAATCAAAACTATTGCAGCTTGAGATCAATGCATCGAGTGTATAATGCTATATATGCTTCAACAACCTACAAAAATCTATAAATGAAAATTATTTTGAAGTGGGACTTCTACAGGTAACCTGTGGAGGTCACTCCATTCCACATTATCAGTAAACAAAAGACGTGAAAATTACTCTCACGGCTGACCTGATATCTAAACATGGACAGTTTAACAGGTGCGCGTCTGTGTATGACCAATGCATGTTTTTGGTCCACAATTATTCTCAAGATGCATCTTACCAACATAGTATATTCAAAGCAATGAATAACACCAAATATCTCAAGCACTAAGCACTATTTCATAGCATTCACCACAAAGAGGCAAATCCACAAGGCAACCACTACAAACAGAAACAACAGCACAAACAATTCAAAGGTCAAAATACAATCACGTTTAAGTTACAAGCCGAAATTCATAAACCTGAACCATTCAGCCGAACATTATTTTCCCGCGAAAATCCAGACATCACATCAGTACTTTGTTCTTCCGTCACCCTCTGTAATCACATCTTTAAAGCCACCACCACTTGGTATCATAGGCAAAACATGCTCTTGATGAGGCACAACAACATCCAACAAATACGGCCCAGGATTATCCAACATCTTCTGAATTGCCGCCCTAAGATCACCTTTTTTCGTCACGCGAGCTGCAGGTATATCACAAGCCTCCGCAAACTTCAGCATATCAGGAAAAATCTCCGACTCATTAGACGGATTTCCCAGATAAGTATGCGCCCGATTAGACTTGTAAAACCGATCTTCCCACTGTACCACCATGCCCAAATGCTGATTATTCAACAACATAATTTTTACAGGAAGATTCTCTACGCGGATAGTAGCCAACTCTTGCACGTTCATGATGAAACTCCCGTCACCATCAATGTCCACTACAACAGCATCTGGTCTAGCTACAGCTGCTCCAATTGCTGCAGGGAGTCCAAAACCCATGGCTCCTAAGCCACTAGAAGTCAACCACTGGCGAGGCTTATTGTACTTGTAAAATTGTGCGGCCCACATTTGATGCTGCCCAACGCCAGTGCTGATTATTGCATTCCCACCTGTGAGCTCATCAAGTGTCTGAATTGCGTACTGAGGAGGAATGGCGTCCTCAAATGTCTTGAAACTCAGGGGAAATTTCTTCTTCTGCTCTTTAAGCTCTTCCCTCCAGACTGAGAAGTCGAGATTATTACCCACATAACGTTTTTCTTCCAATATCGAATTCAAGCCCTCCAACGCCAATTTAATATCAGCACAAATCGAGACGTGTGGTTGCTTGTTCTTTCCTAACTCGGCGGAGTCAATATCGATGTGAACAATTTTCGCCCGACTGGCAAATGCTTCCAGCTTGCCCGTCACGCGATCATCGAACCTGACTCCAAATGCTAGCAACAAATCACTCTTATCCACAGCATAGTTGGCATACACAGTTCCATGCATTCCCAACATCTGCAATGAAATCTCATCATCCGAGCCTGGATAAGACCCGAGACCCATTAACGTGCTGGCAACAGGTATTCCCGTGAGCTCCACAAACTGTTTCAACTCTTCGCTCGAATTCAAACACCCGCCACCAACATAAAGGACTGGTTTTTTAGATTCGGATATCAACCTAACTACTTGCTCAAGCAACATATTACTCGGAGGCTTAGGCAACCTAGACAGATAGCCGCCCAAACGCATAGGCTGGTTCCAATTCGGGACCACCATTTGCTGTTGAATATCTTTCGGTATATCAATCAAAACAGGTCCGGGCCTTCCCGAACGTGCAATAAAGAAAGCCTCCTTCACAACCCTAGGAATATCCTCAACATCGAGAACGAGATAGTTATGCTTGGTGATCGAGCGAGTTACCTCTACAATTGGGGTCTCCTGGAAAGCATCAGTGCCGATCATGCGGCGGGGGACTTGGCCAGTGATGGCAACAAGGGGCACGCTGTCCAGAAGAGCATCAGCGAGGCCGGAGACCAAATTGGTGGCCCCGGGGCCTGATGTGGCGATGCAGACGCCTGGTAGGCCGGAGGCTCGGGCATAGCCCTCGGCGGCAAAGACGCCGCCTTGCTCGTGGCGGGGGAGCACGTTGCGGATGACGGTGGAGCGCGTGAGGGCTTGGTGGATCTCCATGGACGCGCCTCCTGGGTAGGCGAAGACGTCGGTGACCCCTTCCCGCTCGAGCGCCTCCACCAGGACGTCGGAGCCCTT